CCTTCCTCCTTCGGCAGGAAGGGAGCTGTCTTTGCAAGCAGGCTGCTAAGAGGCCTGGGATAATGCCAAGAAGGTTGTAAAGGAAGATAAGAATGACAGTGCAAATCACTTAATTGCATGCCAGCCTGATGTGGCCACTTCTGGATTCAGATGAGAAAGTTTCTAGGTATCTGTGTCTTACAGAAAACCTTGTGAGGATGGAAAATGACAGTATCCTCCTCAATATTCAGGAGTAGGGACAGGGTAGGAAGAAAGCTTTGCAAGCAGTCTGCTACAGGCCTGTAAACATGACTGGGGAGATTGAGGTGGAGGATAGGAAAGCGTGTTGAAATCACCCACTTGATGGCAGGTCTAGTGTTGCTGATAGGGATCCCAGGTAGAAATTATTCCTAGATATTAGTGGCTGCCAAAAGGAATAGGAGTGGACCAGAAGGTGGTGCTTAGGGGTTTCACAGGAAGGAGGAAATCTTGACCTGCTACAAGTTTTATTGGAGAACACAAGGAATGTAGGTTGAGTGGAAGGACATGTCCCTGAAACGTGTTTGCTACACAGCTGAGAGTGGAACTGGAAATTATAATTCAGAACAGGAACAAGAGTGAAGACAATCTACCTCGTTCCCAGCCCAGGATCAGTAATTAATCCTATAATTACGGTTTTATATTTGTTACCATATTGCTCTGCAGTCCTCACTTGTCTCTTCCGCCTGAAATATTGATTCTTGTATATTCTTTAAATTTGGTTTCTCTGATATAATTTTCTAGGCTGTCTATACTATGGAAAGTTTTTCTTTTTCCTTCACATATGGTGAATAGTTTTTCTGGGTGTATTTGTCTAGGTTGGCCTTCATCATCTTTTAGGAAGTATCATGACTTGCTCCAGACTCTTATGGCTATCAAAATTTCCAGTGAGGAATCAGCTGTCATTCTGGTGAGATTGTCTTCATATGTGACTTTCACTTTTTTCAGAGGAGAATTTCTTCTCTGGCTTTGTCTATTTGATATTATGTGTGCTTCTAATATCTATATGGGTGTGTCATTCCTTAATTTGGATAGGTGTTTTGTTATGATCTTGTTTGTGTCATTGACTTGGAATTATTTTCCCTCATCTACGACTATAATTCAAAGCTTTTGTCTTTTCATGGTATCCTAAATCTCCTCTGCATTTCTATCCAATGGCAAATTTATTTCACATTTCTTACTTATTTAGTCTAGATCCTTTACTGTATATTCAAGTCCTGATATTCTTCTGTTTGATTTACTAGTCAGTTTTGTTTGATTTTCTAATTGGGTTACTGTGTTTTCTTCTATTCCATCTTCAATTTATCTTGAGTTTTCTTCAGTGCTTCTTTCTCCTTATATTCCATTCTCATGTCTTGGATTGTCTTCATCACTTCTATCAGTCAATGTTTGCAATTACTTGGGCATTGCTCAGGTGTTAATTACTTTTAAGTCCTTTTTATCTCAATTTCATTGATCAGTTTGTGTCTTCTTTAATATCCTTGAATCCTTTGATATAATTTATGATTATTCTTTTTAATTTTGGTGTCCTTGGGTTCATCTAGGTAATTCTCCTTACATACTATTTTTATAAGACTGGTGGTATTTGGAAAGAACATACCCAATTTATCTTTCATGGTGTTTAATTTTTTGCAATTAGATCTAGGCATGTGGACCCCTTTGTTGGTTATGCAGCTGATATAGACAGTAGACTGGTACAGAAAATATAATGTGTGGGTGGGTTGGGACTAGAGGTAATAAATGGCATAGGTGGAATGAAGTCAGGTGTCTGTAATTGGCTGGGTTGGTGTACAGAATGTCTCTTTGTCATAGCCTATAATGTCGGGGAGTGGTAATTATGCCTAAATGGAGATGTTGTATGTAGCAGGCATGAGAGGGCCATACAATTTTGGAAGATGGATAGGTATGTCCTTGAAGTAGAGTAGAGATTTGTTTTCAGCATGTGCATACTTGTTCATACTTGTCAGGAACCCTGGATGTAGGGCCTAGGCTGGATATGGAGGCCTGTGGTGTTTGCTTGCAGGGATGGTCATGAAGACTCATGGTATAGACCCTGGAAAATAAGATGTGGGGTATTTGCCTGGGTGGAGAGCTTGAATGCAACAAAGGAGGAGCCTAGTGGTCTGTGCCAGGAAGTGCAGGTCATGGTGGAGGTCTAGGAGCAGTCAGGGTTAGCCAGACTAAGCAGGAACACTGGATATGGAATGCTAGGGAGGATAAGTGGAGGGGAGTGTCAGACTTGCGGTTCTCAACCCTGGAAAAGAAATGACATACCAGTTCTGGGTGGATGAGGAGGTTGGATATGATATCTCACTTTTCTTGAGAAAATCTATTGCTTTTTCATTATTAATTTCTATTTTATATCTTGAATTATTTTCCTTATTTCACTAAACTACTTGTATTTTGTAGGCCTCACTCTGGAAATACTTGTTTCTGTTTGAATTTTTTGATCTATTTATTTTACTATTTCAAAGTCATGCCTTTTATGCCTTATAAGTTGCTTTGGTCTGGGACCATTATAAGTATATCAAATTTTGAAGGACACATATTGTATTGGTTATCCTTGTTGTTTGTTTTCTTGACCTAGTCCTCCTGAGTAAGATCATTGGTACTGTTTCTTTATATGGATGTCTTGTTCTCCTCTGCTGAGTTTTTTTTTTTTTAATTTCTTCTGTACGGTGGTTATGTGAGTTAAGGGTCAGTCTTGGGGAAACTCAAGATGTTTTGGAAACTCCTAGTCAATAGACTGATGTTCTATTGACTAGGATACTAGGTTATCAAAAGTGGTTCCAGCTTAGGTAGCATTGGTGAAACTTTTGAGCTCAGGAGAAGAAACTTTGAAGTTAAAGGAATATCATATCCAGGATTCATGAAGCTGAGGGAGGTGTGCCACTCTTGTCCTCGGGTAGGTAGGATGGGAGAAGTAATTGGAGGAAGGAGTCTCTGCCGGAAGAGGAGGATAGACCAGGATAGACCCTCTAACTTCAGGCCAAGATTCTGTGTCTAAATAGCTCATAGGACCCTGGAAAGAACCCAATAGTATTATTCTGTTAAATAGACATAAAATGACTTACAGTAACTTATTGCTACATCCATAAATCAGTGAATTACTCAGCCCTTACCACAGAATCTTCATTTTGAAGTATATTACCTTGTCACAGTGTGAAGCCTTGCAATGAGTGATCTAGAATGTATAGTCATACCTTACATTGGTGTAGTTGTAGTAGTAAATTTCAGCTATGGTGGCCACCTGGCTCTTCTGGAATCAAAGAATGTGTCATCCTGAAGTTCATGCTATCGCTCAGTGCTCTGAGAAGTGCTATGTATTTGGGCAGCAGCTTGGCAGGCCACAAGAAGTGCCTAGCTTCATACAGCAGGGTTCAAGACCCACCTTTTGGAAGCACCTTGACACTACATGATCTGGCCTCCTGCGCTGAGTGTGAAGTTGTGCTATGTTCAGACTTCTTTATACCTCTGCCTCTCAAGTTATCTCGTTTTAAGTAAATAGTGGTACAGATTAATGTGTCCAGTGGACTCACACTTTACTGGATAGGGCAAGATGTGTTCTATTCAATATGGTACAGTGTGCCTCACTGCTATAGTTTTATTCTTATTTTATTTATACTAGATATTTACACTGATATGACATTACTACATATGAACCTGAAGAACAGTAAGTTTTCAGGATCAACAGGAGTAAGATGAAATAATATAGTAGTTAATGTAATTATTTCCCATGTAATGAAAGTTAAGTTCATCTTAGAGATTTTATTATAAAGGACCAATGAAATCAAACTGTAATTTGGATAAAGGAAGTAAGAAGAAAGAAAAGAAGACTGCTTCTTTTTTTTTCAACTTTTTTTATTTGAATTAGAAACAGGATTGATTTACATGACAATCCCAGTTCCCTTCTCCCACCCATCCTCCCCTACCACCACCCCCCCAACTAAAACCCTATCTATCACATATCCTTTCTGCTCCCCCTGGATGGTGAGGCCTTCCATATGGTGTCATCAGAGTCTGTTGTATCCTTTGGGATAAGGCCTAGGCCCACCCCATGTGTGTTGGCTGAGGGAATATTCCCCTATATGGAATGGGCTCCCAAAGTCCACACCTATACTAGGGATAAGTACTGAACTTCTACAGGAGGTCCCATAGATTTCCAAGGTTTCCTCATAGAAACCCATGTTCCTGGGGTCTGGATCAGTCCCATGCTGGTATTCTAGCTATCAGTCTGGGTAGCAAGAGTTCCCCGATGTTCAGGTCAGCTGAGAAACCTGCTTCTTAAAAATATCTGATGCCTTTCCCATTTTCTTCTCAGGGTTGACTCTCACCAGTACAGTTGTATGTGAAATTAACTCTGAGAAATCTTTGATAACTTTCACAAGGTGAGTTGTCCAGTGTCTCCCTGGAAAGCTGTCATGGGTTCCCCCAGGCAACACTTAGTAAAAAATGTTGACTGTGGGAAGGACATATCCTTTAAAGGACAAAACTCCCATGACAAGTGTGTGGACTCTCCTTGATGCTGCTTTCCCAGTATGAAGTACGGGATACCAGCTCGAGGTTATCACACCCTTATTATTTGAACGATAATAAATGGATTTTTCCAGTCTATGTTGGAAGACCACATGACAGGGGCTACAGACAGCTCCAGCACCCCACTGAGGGTTACCAGAAGGGAAAAGCATTGTGAAGATTTCCGAGGACAACAGAAATGGAGATTGAGTTAGAACACAGCCCTGTGTTCCACCACCAGGATTTCAGATGGACACCAAAAGTGGCTTTTGAGTCTTGAAGGTTAATGTCTGGCCACAAGGGGGAGGCAGACTGAGTTTTCTCTATGAACTCTGAACTTTTAAGAGATCCAAGTGTAGGAAGTGGGCATATTTGCATGGGAGGTTAGGTCCTGGACACACTGAAGCTAAGGGCATAAGAGGCTTGGGATCCCAGGCTTAGTGTCTAAAGAACTGGTCATATCCACCATGGCCTGGACTCCTCTCCTCATCATCCTTACTTTTTTCAAAGGTCAGTTGTGGACAATGGTCACGATCTCCAGAGTGACCACTAATGCTCAGCACCAACCTCCCTCACCCCATCCTTTCGTCCAGTAATTATTCACCTTCTTCCTTAGTAGATATTTAACTCGTATCTATGTTTCCAGGGTCTGTTTCTCAGCCTGTGTTGACTCAGTCACCATCTTCATCTTCTTCTCTGGGAAAATCAGTCACACTTACCTGCACACTGAGCAGTGGCTACGATAAGTATAATGTCGACTGGTACCAGCAAAGCTCTCAGAAGACTGTACAGTTTTTGATGCGAGTAGGCACTACTGGTAATGTAGTATCCATAGGAAGTGAGACTCCTGATAGATTCTCAGGGTCTGGCTCTGGACTCGTTCGATATCTCAGCATCCAGAATGTCCAGGATGATGATGAGAATGTCTATTACTGTGGATCAGATCATGGCAGTGGAAGCAACTATGTGTAACCCACAGTGTCACAGACAGTAAGGAAGTGAGACAAAAACTTGGTTAATATGCCCAGTGCTGGCTGATTTCCCCATTGTCTTTACTAAGAGTTTTCAGAGCTTCTTGATGTTACCTGATATTTTCTAGTTTCCAAATGAAATTAACATTTAATAATCCCATCTGCATAAATATTTTTCAGTATTGGTTGAAATAGTTGAATTTCTGTATAAACACATGTTATTACTTCCAATCACTAGTTTCCTGGAGTTTTACTGTATAGGTTATAGACATTTCCCCATGTTAATTCATTGTGTAATACCTGCTGTCATCTGTGGTGACTTTCCCCCATATCAATCGTGTGTGTGTGTATGTGTGTGTGTGTGTGTGTGTGTGTGTGTGTGTGTGTGTGTGCCATATAGTGATGAGCATCACATAATTTCATAGAGATTACCAAACTTGACCCTTAACCACATTGTCATACATGCACAAATGGTCTTGGTGGATTTTACTCATTTCACACCTTCTGCATGCAAAGAGGAGTAAGTGCCAAGGTTTGGGTGGTGTTCCATAAACATGTGTAATCTAGAAGTGTGAAATGGCTCTGAACTTTGCAAGTCATCCCACTTTTCTACAAGGGAAATTTGATCATGCTAAGAAGAGAAACTTATGGTGTGTTTTTTAATGCTGCTCTGATAGTAAATAACTTGGTTTTATACTCACTTGATTGAGGGCACAATCATTCATAATGCCAGACACATTTCCGAATGTGTGTGTGTGTTATATGTATGAAAAATGGCCAATATGATGACTCAGGTTACAGAGATTCATGTAGAAAAAAAGAAAGAGAAAATGCTGAGTCACCACATAATCAGTATCAAAACCTCATGAATGAAGTAGAAGATGGAATAAATCCTGAGTACAGAATAATAGCTTCATGGTGAAATAAACCAATGATTCACAGATATTAGTAGATTTAAGATAACATTTTCAGCTATGAGTTTATAAGGTCATCAGTTAAATAAAAAGCATCACACAAGCAGTGAAATTCTATTATCTTACATTTCAATCACAGAATCGTCAAAAATTAACAAAGGGAAAGATTATGAATGGAAAATAGTGTGTTTGTGAGCTTGATGTACATTAAAGATGATACTGCATTGGTGGATCTCTGGGAGTTCGAGGCCAGCATGAGTTACAAAGCGAGTGCCAGGATAGGCTCCAAAGCTACACAGAGAAACCCTGTCTCGAAAAACCAAAAAGAAAAAAAAAAAGATGATCCTGCATTAAGAAATTAAAGGACAGAAACCATCTAGTAACTGTCTGAGAATATACTTGCCAATTGGATTTTTTCATGACAGATTCATGATTACTATTCTAGGTTTGTGAGAACATGTAATCAATCTGTCTTCTTCCATCTTAACCTAATGAATTCTGAGACTACATATGTGTATCACATGTCTGTATATGAAATCTGAATCCATCTAATGTTGTAATAATAAGTTTAGTGGGAATGGCAGTATTTCCTATTTTGTCTTTTTATTTATTAATTTAATTTTTTCATTCCAATCCCAGTTACCCCTCCCTCTTTTCCTCCCACTTCCCCATTTCCCCCCACCTCACCTCCCATCTGCTCCTTGGAGAGGGTGAGGTCTCCCCTAGGAAGTCTACTAGGTCTGTTTCATCATCTCGTTGATGCAGGACCACCCCCCATAACTAGACTGTGCAAGGCATCTCTCCACACAGAATGGGCTCCACTAAGTCAATTTGTGCATTAGATTTAGATCTTGAACAAACTGCCAGTGGCCACATATATTGCTCTAGATATGCCATTGTCACCTATATTCAGTGAGTCTAGTTTATTCTAATGCAGGTTCCTCAGTTGTAAGACCACAATCAGTGATAATTCACTAGTTTAGGCCAGCTGATTCTGTGGGTTTCCCTATCATGATCTTGACTCCTTTGTTCACATTATCACTCTCCCTGCACTTTGATTGTACTCCAGGAACTCAGCCAAATGGTTAGTTGTGGATGTTTGCATTTGCTTCCATCTGTTTCTGGAAAATGGTTCTAGCTTCTCTGGGGTGGTGTATTGTAGGCTGGGTATCTTTGGTTTTTATTTCTGGTATGCACTTATGGGTAAGCACATACTATGTTCATCTTTCTGGGTCTGGGTTACCTCACACAGGTTTTTTTTTTGTTCTGTCCAATTGAATGCAAATTTTAGGACTGATTGTTTTTTTACTTTATTGTGTAGATGTATCATATTTTCTTTATCCATTCTTCTGTTGAGGGACATCTAGTTGTTTCCAATATCTGACTATATTGAATGATGTTGCTATGAACATAGTTGAACAAATGTCCTTATGAGTGTGTGTCCTTTTGATATATGCCCAAAAGTGGAATTGCAGGGTCTTGAGGTACATTTATTCCTAATTTTCAGAGAAATAGCCATATTGATTTCCACAGTGGCTGTACAAGTTTGCACTCTCACCAGCAATGGGGGATTGTTCCCCATACTCCACACCCTCTCCAGCATATGCTGTCGTCAGTGTTTTTGATCTTAGCCATTCTGATTGGTGTACAATGGTATCTCAGAATTCTTTTTATTTGCATCTCTCTGATGACTAATTATGTTGAGAAATTTTTAAGTGTCTTTCCACCATTTGAGATTGTTTTGTTGAGAATTCTCTGTTTATATCTGTACCCCAGTTTTTTTGTACCCCAGTTTTTAAAATTAGATTATTTGGTTATTCTGTGTCTACTTTCTTGAGATTTTTGTATATTTTAGAGATCAGCCCTCTGTCAGATGTGTGGTTGGTGATGATCTTTTCCATTCTATAGGCAGCCTTTTAGCATTTTTGACCATGTCCTTTGCTTTACAGACACTTCTCAGTTTCAGGAGGTCCCATTTATTGTTTCTCTCAGTGTCTGTGCTACTGGTGTTCTGTTTAGGATGTGGTCTCCTGTGCCTATGTGTTCTAGAGTATTTTCCACTTTCTCTTCTATGAGGTTCAGTGTGGATGGATTTATGTTGAGGTTTTGTTCCATTTGGACTTGAGTTTTGTGCAATATGGATCTATTTGCATTTATCTACATGTCAACAGCCAGTTCACACTTCATATGGTGGAAAGAGAGAGAGAGAAAGAGAGAGAGAGAGACAGAGACAGAGACAGAGACAGAGACCGAAACAGAGGGATGACCTTCCCCTTCCCTGCCCCTTGCCATCTGTGGTGAGTGGGAGACTTGGCTCTGAGGTCATAAGAGTGGGAAAATTTGCACTGACTACTGTAGCAGCACTAAGGAGAGCAGGCCCTGCATCTCACCTGGGAAGCATAACAAAGATGACCCTATTGGTGGAAACACAGGTGAATTGGACTGGAAGGCATGAAAACAGGAGGACTGACCCTTCCCCCCTCATCTGCCATGTAGTGGCATGGGTCAGGAAAAATTGCCCTTCCTCCCCTCACCCCTTGCTGCATCAGGTGAACCTCATAGAAGAGAGAGAACCTAAACATGGCCCTAGGTGTGGACTCAGATCACAGACATCCTCAAGTCCTTCCATGACAAGAGGAGCCTCAGACAGTAGTGCAGACCCTGACTATGGAAGAGCTACAAAATCAGACATGGCACTGGCCATAGCTCAGGCCCATATAATGCCCTGGCTCCAGGTGGTGACACATATCAACAGGAGCCTGGGACATCAACACAGAATATCTAATCAGGATCTGATTGATTAGTCTCCTTGGGTGTAAACAGTAAAGTGGGGTCACCTCAGAAGGTCTTCTATATCCATGGGGATGAGACTGGGTGATTGGAGATGGAGGAACAACAGGAGAGGGGAAGATCTACAGATAGTCCAACAGCTTCCCTCCAAGGTGTGGCTTGTGGGTTCCCAAGAAGAGTGCTGCTAGAGTTGGGGGCTGGGATAAAGGACTGAGTTGGGAGCAGGAGGTTATGTGGGGAAGGTCTTTGTAGTCCACAGTAGATGTGGGCAGAAGAGGAAGAAAGGCTGCAGCACATGTTCTGTTGCAGAGCTAGGGATGAGATTGAGAGATTAGGTTTCGGAGAGAGGAGGGATTGGTGAAGGTCTGCAGTTAACTTACCCATTTTTCTGGTCCACTCAACTGGTGGGTTCCTAGGGAATGCCTGCTGGTGTAGGAGGCTGGGATAATGGGATAAATTGGTACAGAGGTAGGTTGGTGGCAAAGATTTTTGTGATCCATTGGGGATGGGATCAGTGAGGAAATGGAGATCACAGCAGGTGTTCTGTTATAGAGTTAGGGGTGGATCTGGGTGATTGGAACTGGAGGAGCAGAAGAAGAGTTAAAGATCTGTAGTCAGCCTACCTGATTCCCTGGCAGCAGTCCATTATTATGTTTTAATCTTTGCTTATTCAATACTTATTAAGAAACTTGGTGCTACTGCATTTTTCAACCACTTATATCTTTTTCTTTCTACATCTTTTAAATTGTTTTTTAATGAATTCAGGTGATGGGGAATGTTCTTATGTGTATATTTGTTTCTCTTGTTGGTTAATGAATAAAACACTGATTGGCTGGTTGGCCAGACAGGAAGAGACATAGCTGGGCAGAATCAGAATATAAGCAGGGACAAACAGGAAATCACTCTCCTTTGCTCTTCTCTGAGGAAAAGGTGAGTAGTCAACATATAGGATGTGGGAGGAGTAACAGGTCTGGACCCTTTTTCTGTTAATATAAGACCACGTGGAAATACTTAGATTATTAGAAATAGATTAATAATTTAGACAGTGCTAACCAATAAGAAGCCATAACCAGTGGCCAACAATTTCATAATTAATATAGCATCTGTGTGATCACTTGGGGCTGAAGCAGTTGTGGGGCCTAGCCAGGCCAGAAACATTCACATTGCTTTCAGGGTGTTGGGAAGTGCTCTAATTTGTCTGCCAAGATGCCCATTGATATTACCAATATGCCCTTTTAGACTGCTCTAGTGGAGAATCAAGTACAGAGAGGCCATAGATTGCTGAGGAACATGAGAA